AAAAAGGCTGAGAAGTTAGAGGGTTGACATGTTGTGGGGTTGTTAACCAATGTCATAAAACAATATGTGTACTACTGTTTCATGAGAAACTATTTGTTCTTTAAGCCTTCACCTGAAGTACAATAAAAAAATAAAATAAAAAAATGAGTTAAATCTGTATGTGTGGGTGTAGAAAGATATTTTGCAATACAATGTTAGGTTAAAAAAAAGGCAAGTTGCAGCACAGGCTGGATAAACTTATATGCATCTAGATGTGTATGCAAAGGATGAGAAAGATATCACCACACTAAACTGTATATGCATCTAGGGGTTAGAATCAAGGAGGAAGGAAAGGGGGAATTTATTTTGTATTTTATACCTATTTGTTTTCTTTGAATTTATTATGAAGAGCACAATTACTTTAGAAATAAAAATAATAAAGTTTAAAGAGAATCTTGTCACCAAACAGAATTTTCATTGTAAGCTATTTGAGGACTGAATGTTTGTTCACTAACACAAGATCTGATACCAGTCTGAAACCATGTACATTCTCAATATCAGAGTAATGGGGGGAGAGGGGGAGGGAGGAAAGGATGAAGGAAGGAAGGAAGGTACAGATTTGAAAAAACACATTTCCTTTATAAGACTAATTTTTCAAGCATTTATTCAACAAATATTTACTGAGCAAAATTACTACATGTAAAGTGCTTTACTAAATGTTCTAAAAAGTTTAAAAAAATGAATGGCTTCTTCTCTCAAGTTATATTACGATTTAACAAGAAGAAACAGGTAAACACATAGCCTTAATATATAAAAAGAAAATACACTAAATTAAAGGTATAAAGTACCTTGGGAGAAAAAAAGATGATCAGTTCTAAATTGTAAAAAAGTAAACAGACATTAATAAACAAGGTTCAAGTCTTCAAGATTCAAAGTATTTCAGGAGTGGTTCCCAAGAGGAGAAAACACTAAGAGCAAAAGTAGAACACTTATTCCTCATTTATCAACTATTTCATTATCCGATATTTTGCATTTACAGTGATAGTAAAAAAATCTACTATCCAACTATTTTGCGTATGTCTGGCAGTAACAAACGCCAAGGTGTAAGCCAAGAGTAATGCTGGCTGTGATGGTTAAGGTTATGTGTCACCTTGGCTGGGCTATGATTCTCAGTGGTTTGGCAGTTATGTAATGATGTAATTTGGCAGTTATGTAATGATGTAGTCATTCTCCATTTTGCAGTCTGATGTGGTCATCCTCCATTTTCACATAACATCAATTTTCACTTAACAACCTGGTCTTAGGAACCTAACCATGTCGGTAAGTGAGGAGTGGGTGTAGTAAGGGATGTATCACACAAATGATCTGAGGGACAGAGAAAAGTCTGATGCTACTAAGATGCAGGGGAGACAAACAGCTGAGTGCTGGAAGACTGAAGTTTTTTTTCATTTCAAACTACTCAGCACTGCACTCTACAACGTGGCTAAAAATTGTCTTTTTTAAGTGTAGTGATATCATCTAAACCTGTGTTTTAGGAAAATACTAGCTACAACCACAAAACCAGCTAGAGAAATGAGGATTATAATCGTTATGAGTATTTCTTCCTTGTTGTTATGTTTGTATACGTGTTAAATATTCTTCTTTTCTTCCCCCTCTTATGCCCTTGTCACCTAACATAAAATGTATTAACAATAGTTAACCCTCAATGAGACAGACTGACACAATGGCTGCAACAATGGGCTCAAGCACAACAGCAACTGTGAGGATAGCGCAGGACCGGGCAGTGTTTCATTCTGTTGCTCAGAGGGTCACTATGAGTTGGAACCAACTCAATGGCACCTAACAACAACAATAGTTAACTGTACATCACAGTATATAAGTTACAGGATATCACAGGAAAAGAATCACCCAAGGTCTTTGCATCCTCTTTTGGGGAGGTTAGCATGCTTTCAGTTGTATGTAGGACGGTTGTATCATGTTAGGAGGAAGTCTGACTTTGTGATTCTTTGTTTGGAGATTAAGAACAGTTTAAGGAGATGTGGATGGGTACCAAGTTGACATGGGGTGAACTCCAATGGTCAATTTTATGGGTCAACTGGGCTAGGCTAGAGTAGCCAGTTATTCAATCAAATACTAATCTAGGTGTTGCTGTGCAGGTATTTTGTAGATGTGATTAAATTCTATAATCAGTTTCCATTAGGTAAGAAAGATTATCCTAGGTAATCTGAGTGGGCCTAAGTCAATCAGCTGCAAGGCCTTAAAAGCATAACTGAGGCTTCCCTGAAGAAATTATGCCTGTGAACTGAGGCTTCAGCTCATGCCTAAGGATTCCAGTCTGCCCTCCCTGACCGTGTACCCTACAGACTTCAGATTTGTTTAGCCCTCATAACTGCATAAGATAATTCCTTGCAATTTCTCTCTCTCTCATGTGGGCTCCAGTGGCCAGGAAACTGAGCAGGGCTTTGAAAAACAGCTGAGAGAAGTGAAGAAATGGCCAATCCAGAAAATAAAGGCTGCAAAGACGAGAACATTCAGGATACATGTAGCTGTCAGGCTACTCTGGCTAGTGTTAATTTATGTGAACTGTAGAGGAGTTTGAATGGGAGCTTGAGAAGTATATGCTTCCATCTACTAGCAGCAGGAAAATACTATTGTTTTCTGAGTAGAAACTGATATAACCTAAGCCTTGTAACAGAACAGGCTGAATACATTTAAAAGTACTCTCCTCCCACCTCAGTTCTTCAAATCAGTTTAACAAAACACTCACCTGAAATAGCAGCTTCAGAAAGCACTTTAAGTACCTCATTTTCCATTTCACAACTGTTACACAGCTCCTCCCAAGTGCCTTTAAGTCCTTTCTTTCGAGCTAGTTCTGTTAGTTCCTTTTGATTTGGCACAACAAATCCAATGACATAAGAATGATAACTGTAAAAGTTAAAAGATAAGTTAGCTAAGGAACTTAACAGTACAGTGTTGATGAACTGCCATTGCCTGATTACACTGTCACTTAGTCATTAACTCTGTACTGTTTAAAATGTGGCTTGTTTGGTCATGGTAAGCATTTGGTTCATGCAACAGCCACTTTGACTGTTTGATTCATCCTATGTTCCAATGCTTTGGCAAGATTTCATTGCTAAGAGAAACCTCAATCTTTTATTTCATAACATAAATTTCAACTATGCAGAACTATCATGAATAGTGCCATACACACATTTTTTAAAAGAAAATTGCACCATTAGAAAACTTATCTTTTAAAAAATCAGTAGTACTTGGCTGTGTTAAAAATATCTATATAAACTATAAACTTTACCTAAAGAAATTTGGCAGCAAATCAAACTAGCATGATTATATTCATTTTTATCTTTGATATCACGAAAATCTGTGTTGAGAGAGGAACTCTGGGTATCCCCACTGAAAACAGATACTTTTTTTGAAGGCCATAAAAAACAATCCTGAAGAAAACAGTGCATTAGAAGGACAGTTCAAGTTTGTATCACATAAGTAAAATTCAGAAATGTAACATCACTAAAGAATATATTAAATGGCTAATTAAAGGGCAGACTCGTTTATAAATCAATGTAGTTAATCTTGGGTTGCATCCCAAAGTCTACTTCTAAATTGGATCTTCTGATACCAGACTTTATTTTCTCATAATAATTATGTCATCTGCTGCTGTCAGGTTCTTTGGTTAACCCACAAAGTATCTGATCATTAATACTGGAGAATAATTAACGTGTGTAATACTATTATGGAAAAAATGTAATCAGAGTTCCAATCTGAAATTCCAACACATTCCCCAAAAAATGCCTTTCTGGGATTTTGGTTTAAACTCCCCTTCCAAGCTGCCTCTACATTATCATGGGCAAGGGCTGCTTATCTTATGTATTAAGCCACAGGTGGGAGCCCCCAGTCCTGGCCAGGGTCCTAAGCAGGCTCAATCTCACAGCAGGTTAGGAAGAACTGAACAGGATACTGCTTGTGGCATCCTCTCCCCAACTCCCTTCTTAACTTCACTTTTGCCTGGACTGGTTCTGTGAAGCTGCCCTGTGCAGACAGAGGCAGCTAGGGATACCAAGGCCACAGGAAGGAGGCTATTTTTTTTTTTTTTTTCCATCACCTCCCTACCAAATAGGACACTGTGGTGAGGTGTAATGCAGAAAACAGGCATGGGGGAAGATGCAGAGGGGGAGCATCACAAGGAAACGATCAGCTAATGGCAGGATGAGGAAGAAGCCGTTGCCAGAGCCAACAGATAAGAAAGAAGAGTTCTTCAGATGATTTTATGAAGAAGGCCCACAGAAGCAGGAAATAACAACAGCACACCAAATCTTTTAGTACCAAAAAAACAAAACCAAACCCATTGCCGTCAAGTTGATGCCAACTCATGGCGACCTATAGGACAGAGTAGAACTGCTCCATAGGGTTTCTAAGGCTGTAAACCTTTACAGAAGCGGACTGCCACAGAACAGAGTAGAACTGCCCCATAGGGTTCCTAAGGCTGTAAACCTTTACGGAAGCAGACTGCCACAGAACAGAGTCGAACTGCCCCATAGGGTTCCTAAGGCTGTAATCTTACGGAAGCAGACTGCCACAG